GGCAACCTTCCAATTACAAGGCGAACTCCCAACTCTTGAGCCATGATCACCCCGTAATTATTTACTTTTGAAAATCAACTATTGTGGCAGCCTTACCAAGATGTTACAAATGCAACTAATTCTAGCAACCAAGGGTGCACCAACATATCTCTTTATCTGCTGAAGTAAAGTGAAATGTGTTGTAATCTACTGTGTCATTTGTAAGCAGCCACATTTAGCGTGAATGGGAACTTAGCCATGTCCAACCTCTTATTTCTTCTTCATTTTAAGTAAGTGGGCAGGGCATCTGTGCTTGCAGCAGAGTACGGATATTAATATGTATGTGAGTGTAAAATATATAAGAAAAGAATATAAGAAAAAACAAGACTGACTAAAAAAACAGATCTCAGGTCTGCGGTTTGAAGCTGTAAATCTGCAGGATTGGATCAATGCTTACCATCCCTGATGGTACAATGAGCCGAAGAGTTGTGTGCAGATAAATAAAATAGCCCATTACCTTCTTTCATTATTTTTTGTGTGTTACCTTTTTGGTTAACTAGTAGGTGAGATCCAGTCTCTTCCTCGCCCACCCCGGTCTTCTTATGTCGCAGACGATCACAGCTCAGCCCGAACACAAGCATCTTATAGAGCGTGCTGACTACTCCAACCACCACAAGCAGCTGGGGTTGATGCACTGGGTGTGGCTTCAGGAAAAAGTGGATAATTTCCATGAAGTATGAAATACATAAGGAGACCAGTAGGAGGGTAGAAATGAAAACCCTCACAACCTGAACCCTGCTGTTGTGGTAAGACAGACCGCAGTTTAGAGCTGCAGGGGAAATCTTTGGGGAGACGGGCTGATGAGGGTTGACCACTGATGGTGTCTCATGGTTAGGCTGAGCAGTGACTGTCTGGCTACCAGCTGGAGGTTCAATGGAGGAAGCATGTGGAGAAGTAGAGGGCTCCAAAGAGGAGAGCGATGTTTTAATTGTGCCTGCAGTCTGAGGAAGAGGAAGAGCCAGGTGCATGAGGATGAAGAGCGTGTGGAAACCATCCACCAGGGTGATGAGGGACTTACACAGCTGACTGATGGCGATCTCGCACATCAGCAGCAGAATGGTCACTCCCAGCATGGACCAGTGTAACACCCTCATTCCTGCAATTAAGAGTACAGAAACATTCAAAACACTCTGAATCTGAGACCCCACTGTTTGCACTGAGGTCTAACATGAAGGGCCATAGTCACATAACAAATGAACAGGTGACTATAGCCACATGTTCTGGCATAATAATAAATAATAAGTGATGACCATTTATAGCTCAACCTAAGTGGAGATGTTTTTTGAATAAACAGCATGTTAGCACTAACACCTGATAGCAGCTACCAAGCACGGTGGTGGGAGTGTAAGGATTTGGATTTGTTTTGCAGCTGCAGGGCCTGTGCACCTTGCAGCCATGCAACATGAACTCTTCTGTATGCAAAAATATCTTACAGTCAAATCTGAGGCCATCTGTCCGACAGCTAAAGCTCGGCTGAAATGGGATCATGCAACGGGACAGTGATCCCAAGCTAAGCAGGAAAGCTACAACAGAATGCCAAAAGAGCCAAGGTGTTGTAATGACCAGGTCAAAGTCAGAACCTCTGACTGAAAGGCTGTGGTAAGACTTTCAAGGGAGCCCACAAATCTCAGCGAACTGAAGCAAATAATGTGAGAGGATAAAGTCACAGGGATGAGATGTATGTACTTTCTCACAGGCCTGGTTAGAGTCTTTTGAAAAACTTCTTTCTTAACAACATGTATGCAAACCATTTATGCATCCAATGGTTGAATGTGTTATTATTTTAAAGTCAAGAAAAAAAGGAGTGAGAGAGTGAAATTCATAAAAAAAAAAAAAAAAACTTCAATAACGCACAAACTATTGAAATCCATCCATTCACTGATTTTTTCAACTGCTGATCCAGTTCAGGGCCATGGGAGAGCTGGAGCATATTTTTCGCCTATCATAGATCAACAGGCAGGTTACACCCTGGGGAGTTCATCATCCACCGCAGGAGCTATAAACGGGTCAAATGTTTCACAAAAATGAACATTTCAGAGTTAAGAGCTGAAGACTGTCCCTGAAGTCAGATTAAGTTTTGTCCTTGCCTGAAGAAACAAACTCAAAGAGCTACACTTTGTGTTGCGATGTTGCAAAAGCATCTGTTACACTCAAGGTCAGGATGTCAGCTGCATGAGCCCACACAATTCACACAATTCACCACATGCCTCTGTGCCGTCTGGTGCACTCATGACTTCTCAGCATACGCGCACTGATGATTGAATAAGTAGAACTCTTATACATGAAATGAAGCATTGTACCTTTTGAGGACTTTTTGTTTGGTACTTTAAAAGTCATTTAAAGCCTTTTATTTCTCTTGCGATTAAAATCTTGAGCTAAAGATGACTTTTTTTTATAATTGCAGCAGTCTTGGTTTATTAGAAACAACTTTTCAATCAAGAACACGTTTCAATCATGAAACCTACGACAAACTTTCCACAGCATGTCATATATTCTTAAGTTCATTTACCCCAGAAAAGTGGACGTCCCTCAGCCGGCACTAAAAGGTAAGTTGGACTCCTGGATGTGATCTGTGCAGCTGAAGCTGAAAAGTGTCATTCATGGTGCTCACCATCTCTCACTCTCTCTGTCCCACCACACTCCTCCTCTGCTGTAATCACAGTCATGTGAGCAGGGGAGGGTGTGGGTGGGATCATCCCTCGTTGGTGGGAGAAAACACGTTGAAAATACGTTCACACGGCCCACCCACTCTTCAGATACCCTCCAAGCAGATCAAGTGAAGCTTATTTGCACTAATTAAACCCCGATTGTGTTGTCAGGATTATATAATGGCATCATGAGGTGAGACCTTCTCAGCTCTGCCTTATGCTATTTAGGATACTGGCATCCAGTCAATATTATAGCTCCATTACCAATGGACTTGCTGCCTTCAGCTGGCCTGTCTAATTATAGTGGGAATCAGAGTATAACACTCTATTATAATTTGGAATAAGCTAAATACTAAACACTCTCTAAGCCCCATACTGGTAATAAAATATTCATTCAGATATTCATTCAAGTATTTGCAGTATATGTACTGATTATTTCATCGTCTATTTCTCGAAATATTTATCAAAGGAGGCAGAAATATCATGTTTACTGGGATTCGCATATTCTTATGTTTATTCTATATATCTACATACGATCTACAGCACATTTGTGGGGAGAAACGTTCATGCTTCGATGTCAAATCTAAGCTCATGTGAGGCTGTATGTTTGCCAGCTCAGTTTGTGTCAATGGCCCAAAATTTGATGAGTGAATTCCTAATGCTTTGTTCTACAGGCAGAAGGGTCAACAAAAAGTCAATGTTCAGATCACACATAAGAGTTTTCTCCGTAAGAAGGGGAGTACTTTAGTGTATTTGCAGTAATTTAAGTTTAATCAAGAATCGTTTTAAAATCTTTCCTTTTTAAAAAAAAAATTCCTTAGCCCCTGTGAGCTCGGTGGATGTGCTGCACCCTCTCTGTCCCCCTCTCATGATCCCACTATGACGCTGCAGTCCCATCGGCCCCTGCTCCTTAGTGTCAGCGTGAGGGGGGTTGTTTCAGTCCACTGGACTGTGGATCAACAGGCCAGATAGGGGCTGACACCACAGATAAATCCCTACTGTTTCACCAGCATGCCAGCACATTCCTGAGGCACAGCTAAACCCAAGGAAAGACCCAGCGAGGAAGCATTTGATCACTTGTCGCTGTCCCGAAACAGAAAGAGGGAGCCATAAAGTTTGAAGTATTGACTGTTATACCAATTTCCCCCACCTCTGTTTTTTTTTTATTCTGGGACTGTGAATCAGTGAGTCAAAGCTTAAAATCTTTACACTGACCCTGCAGCCCCTCTAGAGGTTTTATCTCTTCCAGCAATCTAAAAATAAAAATCTGACACATATTTGTATATAATTGCTTAAACATGAAAGAGTCCTCAAGCAACCCTAAAGGACATGCCGTTCTTTAAAACACCTGTGCCTGTCTGTGTCTAAATGATTAATTATTCATTTCTAGTTGAGTTCATGTTAGTGGTGGGGAAACATTGGCATCCTACTTAAGAAAGGATAAGGCACCCTCGTTAACGATCTCACATTAACAGTTAATCGAGATCACATTAGTCATTTCTGCACTCTGTGCGTTTCTGATCAAATACTGTGATTTTCTTTTGGCCCTCCTGACTACTTTTCGAGCCTGTTGCCCGAGAAAATCCAAGGCTGTCCCATAAGTCCTATGATTTTTGGAGAAAGTTGTACATAACTACAGGCGATGGCTAAAAAGACAAAAGAAAAAAGAAAAATAAAAAAGGGTCACTTTTAGCCTATGTGCAGCAATTACATGCTCACTAAATAAAATAGTCTGAATGGCAACTGAAATACTTCAGTTGGGAATATTTAAGTAAATGCTTTAGTATTAGATCCAGTTCAGCTAGTTTTGGTTTAGCTTTAGCTCAAAGCTCACAACAAACTCCATAGATGCCAGCTAAAACAATAAGCTTGTTCAAACATACAGATTCAAGAATTAATACATTTCAGTGGTGAACTTGGTATAATTATCAGATCAAACTGCATCTTATTTATTGATGAAAAATAAATATTTAGGTATCATTGTATTGCCTTCGTAGCCAGTGCAATATGTTGTTTTTAGAGGGGTTTAGGTAATATCTGAGAGTTCATTGGATATAATACAAATACTGTGCTAGTACAAAAATATATCCATGAAAACTACATCCAGCTTTTTCTGAAGTGGTCTTGACCAAAGAAATTCCTCTCATCTGCCAACTTAGACTAAATAAACAAATCAAATCCTGGATGGATGCCAACAGGAGAAAACCAAAACGGAGATGCACTCTTGAAATCACACTTCATTTTAATATTGATTAAGAGAACACTGAAAGAAAGGGGAAGCTCACTGATCTGGCCCACTTAATATTAAAGTGAGCCATATGAGGCCCTCGATGTAAAAAGAATTTGACAACAAGACTAAGCACAGTAAAAATCCAAATAACACAGATGCGCTCTGTGTGATAGACAAATTTTGACCAAAGAATTACATAAAGAATTTTAACATCACTACCCTACGATATATAGCTGACACTCAGAATATTATTGATGCTTTTATTTCCTCTTAGTTAGATTTCGGTAAAGGCCTTGTACGTCAAAAAAAGTCATAGCTTCCAAGTGGGCAGCTGCTGTCTCAAGAATTTACCTCTCTCTGTTTAATCCAGCGTCCCTGTGTGCACATGAAAAGCAATTTCCTTTGAATCGTTCTTCACTAAAAGAAAATCTGTGTCCAGTTAATATTTATTAAACCACATACCTGGTCCTGCTCCTTGCTTTGGGCAGTTATCAGCTTTTTCTACTTGAGGAAATTAAACGTCGGTGGAGAGATTCAAGAAAACTTCACACTGATGAACTTTTCAGCCATTTGCCCCGAGGTCCACAATCACATGACTCGTACCAGCGTGGAGATAAACAAGCCTCAGGTGCTTTTCGAGCCATATGATAAGTCACAAAAGAAGAAAACGCAGGAGGCCAACAGAACATTAGGAATGTTTTATTTCAACGAGAATTTCCCCACGGATGCAACAAAACCAAACCTCTGTGCAGCAACAGTGTCACACAGTTTGTGTCCCAAGATGTAAGAGTCCAGACTGAGAAGAAAATCCTCCAAATCTACACCGAACGTGATTACACTACACTGACTGCAGGGCAGGTTTGGATGGGTGATTACAGGCACTGATGACAGGAAGGATGTTTTGTGGCAGTCGCTCACAGATAACTGTTGCAATCAGTGAATACAGAAGAAAACTGAAGATTGAATGAATGTAGGCCTGTGGTTCCAAACTTGAGGGCTGACATTAAAATATGTTTCTTTTCTTCTTAAATAATCGAGTAGTTTGGTGCCTGGCCTCTGCAAAATGACACCATTAAAAATGAATTAATAATAACAAATCAGCTGAGTGGTCAGAGCATCGCCCCTTACAGCAGTTGAAGTAAAGTAAACTGTAAAAGTTTACAAACATGAAAAACAAAAAAATAGTGATTCAAATGCAAAGATGAGCCATTTCTGGTACTTTCTTCAGCATTTCAGGATTCATAATGTAAATTTGAAAACAAAAAACAAAGAAACTTTGTGACATTTACTTGAAACTTGCACCACTTTGCGGCCACTTGCTAGGGTTTTAAAGACTTCTAGTTTTCTCTCATTCTTATATAATTGGGCGGGGTGGATTTGTGTGGTCAAGAATTTGTATAGTAAAACATACAGAGCAGAGCTCCCATCGTTCTCCACACCTTCACCCCAGGACAGCCTACTGCACCCTAGAGGGGTGAGGCGGTTCACACTGGGGAATAGTTTCAGGAGAGGGAAGTGCTCCTCCTGGAATCTCTGTGGTGTTTTAATAATAACGCCATGACTTCTTTTTGTTTTATACTTAATTTCAAAGGCATGAAATAGAAATGACCATAGGACAGGAGGGAGAGAGAAACAAGGATTTTAACCTCCTAGGACCTGGCATCCACATATGTGGACATCACATTTTGGGTTATTTAGAACAAAATACTCAATTTTGCTCTACAAGGGTTTGATATACACTTGCGAGGACATTATACTGCTACTGTTCTATCAAAATTTTAAACGAATATCCTCTGAATTATTGATGTCTTCATGGAGTTTTTGTAATGCTACTTTTAGCAACTTCCTTATTGACAATCGGTCACGACAGCAGGCAGCACGTTTGATTTGATAGATAGATTTATTTATGTAGGTGCCAGATGCACTTCTTGACATCACCACAGAGGGATTTGTATCTCCTCCCCAGGATCCTTCTCCATTGTGAAGCGAATGAATAAACCACTGCGGTATTGAGCAATTGATACAAAGATAAAGTCAGCTTTCAAAAAACATCTTAATTTCAAATCTTTTCTTACGATTGAGATAATATGGGAAGACCTGAAACTAACAATATACTCTCATTATATCAGCCAAACAACATGTCCTATAAAGAGTAAAATGCATGGATGTGTCAGTGCGTTTGGTCACACAGTATTTTAGTCCTGGTGAAGTTCTTAACATGGGGATCTTTGCTCAATAAGTTGCTCTGGTCTACTATAAAATCATCGTCTTATCTGAAAACAAATAAATTAAGCATCCAAAGCAAAAAGCAGAGGACTGTCTTAAGATCGTTCATTTTTGGAGCGTCCTCAGGTTGGGTATCACTGGTCTAAAGTGACTCAAATGTAGAGATGTCTCATGTATAAGTCCGATTTCTGTTAGTTAGAGCAAAAGATGTGTGTGTGTGTTGGTGGTTGTTAATCAGAATTTGAGAACAGCCTGACAAGCTTGAAAAGTGTGTGTATGCAACTTGAAACTATGTGTAAAAAAAACAAAACAAAAAACACATTAATGACATAGCATCCGACGTTCAAGTAACATCGTTATCAGTGACAGGCTTTGGTTTAACGTGCCTGCAAGGAGCCGCTCAGCAGTGCGGAAAACAAGCCAAAAAGAACAAAAGAGCAACAGCACATTTCGCTCCTTTCAGAGGAGCCGTGATCATGTCAGTGCTGCTTGCTGCACTTCTTATTACCATTTTAATTG